CAATAACAGCAAACATTACTAAATGATTAAAAATTAGATAACGGAAAAAGCCTCCTCTCCCCGCCAGCAAACCAACAATGAAATATTTATTGAAGCCAACAAAAAGACCACGCAATAATTTCTTTACGTGGTCTGTTGCCATTGGAAGTATCCTCACTCTCGACAACCTCAGAAGAAGATGTCAGATTGTGGTGAACTGATGTTGCATGTTTAAGAAGTCGGGAAAAACCATGAACCATCTTTTGCTTCATTGCCCTATGGCTAGGGATGTTTGGTTTATTTTCTTGGTTGCTTTTGGTCTGGCCTAAGTGTTTCCAGAATCCACAGTGAACATATTAGTGGCTTGGAAAGGGTGTGCAGAGGAGAATCGAGTCAAAGATGCTTGGAGGGCCACTCCCCTTTTTTAACAGTGGGATCTGTGGCACGATAGAAATAGGAGATTCTTTGATGGTGAGGAGTCTCCTAGTCCATCACTATGTTACATGGACTCTTCAAAAGTAGTGAAATACCCGTGTCGGACACATATTGCTCGGACATGGGTATGGAACATGTGTCCGACATTTTTGGGTGGACATGTACTTAAAAAGCATATACAATCATCCAATTATATTATATTACTTCTTTAAATTGAGTTAATGCCTATATTGAACACTATATTAGATAAAAAAAAAAAACATTACTTTACTCTATAAAATAAAATAAAATAATTAAACAAAATAAATATTTAGCAGTGTCCATGTGTCCTTTTGTTTAGTGATATGACACGTCCGACACTTACACATACCTGTGTCCGACACACATACCCAAGTCCAGGTAACATAGGTCTCTCAAATACAATATACTGCCTTCTTTATTTTTTTTGGGTCAATGGGCAAAATTGTAAATCTATGGATCTTCTTTTGGATTTTGTGGATAGAATAAAATTGTGGGGTCGTTGTGGGCGACTTTTGTATTCCTTTGGGAGATCCCCCCTCTTGAGCTCCTTTAATGAAATCTTAATTATCAAAAAAAAAAAAATGAAGGAAAAAAAAGATAATGATAACGAGCCACCAAGATAAACGATAACGCATGCCAGCTTTCTTTTGTTGACCCATCAGCCTCTTTATATTACTCTGGAAAATTGTGTTGATGTTTTCCCAGTTAATTGAAGCCTTTGTGGTTGCATTGAATTTCTCAATCATTTTGTTGAAGCATTCTCAGATGAGTTCATTATCATTCGCTCATTTGTTGACTAGCATAACAATCTTCAGGTGTTCAACGCGTCCTACCATCAAATTTTGGAAGTCCTAGTGTTGTAGGCATGACCCATAGTCGATCAGCTCAGAAAAATTGATGCATGCCTTCTTCCAATATATTTTTTTTTGTAGTATCATAAAAGTACTCAACCGGGAGCGCATACACAAGTGCCAAATAGGGCCCCTAACCTCTCAACATATCCACCAACTCCCATATTGATTTACAATTTCTCCCCTGAATCCAAAAAAAGAAATAAACTAAGAAATGAAAACTTAAGAACCCAAATAGGGTCTCCTCTCCATCAAAGGACTTCTTATTTCTCTCCCTCTACAAGATACACCATACAACCTCTCCAAGCCTCAAGCAAGCTCATTGTGGAAAGCGGCATGACCCAGTGAACCCCAAACAAACCCACCAACATATCCCAGCAATCCAGAGCCACTGGACAAATTATATAATTATATGAAACAGCAACTAGCTGCTAAAAACTACTACTAACTCGCTAATAAATACCGTTTCTAATACTAATATTATCCTAATTAGGTACTAAATATATTACTATTATCATACTTAATATTATCCCATATATGCAGGATCCAACTGTAATACATATTCATCATGTGTATCTCGTCTTTATTAAAGAATGTGGTAATAATTAAAGACTAACCATCAGTCAACAGTTCATCTCATTCTTCACTATTTCCATTATCTTATCCTATACAACATACTAGATATAACCTCAAATCATTTGTTTCTCTCTTTTTGAAATTTTAATATATAAAAAATAAAAATTCAAATCTTTGAATGAATTCAAATAAAATTCAGGCGGTATCACATGACAGCTATGTTATTAATACCTACATATGCCATCATGATCATGGATGTTGTAGATTTTGATGTGTACAAATTATATCTGAAGTTACATAATTGTAGATTGATCCAAATTAACCATGTTGATTCAGTCTTTCTTATCGTCCTTAAAATGGTCATTTTCATCTCTCCGACTGGTTTATTTCACTGGACTCATCTCTCACTGTTTATAACAACTACTTCACATTATCATGTCTCTTAATTAAGTATAAGGGCAATTAAAAGGAAATACAGAAATAAAATATTTTAGCTAACATATATTATCATAAAAAAATTAACTATCTACTTCAAATAAGCACAACAATGAGCCAGATGATCCCGGCGGGGCTCGAACCCGCAACATTCGGCTCATACGACCAAAGCTCTAACCAACTGAGCTACGGGACCCACGGACAGACAATCATCTCAAAAATACTGAACGTGAGATATATATACACGTGAAGCCCCTGAAAAATAGAATTTCTTCTTCTTTTCTTTTCTTTCTTTTTTCTTTTTCTTTTTTGAAAAGTAACATTTCATTAAAAGAAGATCTTGAGAAGGGAGCGTGCCCAAGAAACAAAGTGTGATGTAGTGGCCCGAATTTTGTTTCGGACTGAGTCGCGCTGCAACCCGATTGACCTGGAAAGTGAGAGGCCACACAAAGGTATGGAAATTCGAGGCCAGCGGTCTGAGGAATTTTTTGACCTGTTTTTTTGCTTGTTGGTCGTTGAGCCAGTTTAGTACTCTCTTGTAGCCCGGTATATAAGGACATTTAGGGTTTGGAGTGGGATAACGAGAGACACTGAAAATCGCAGGAAAGAGGAAGAGAGCAAGAGCTAGGGTTTGGGGGCTGAAACTTGTAATCTCCTAATTTTTATCCTAGTGAAACATTTCACTTGATCTTCACTGTGGATGTAGACACAACTTGTGTCGAACCACATAAAACTTTGTGTTCTTCATGTGTGGCTTGTTTACTTTTCTGTTATGATTTGTGATTTGTTCTTAGTTCACTGCGTTTGTCTTAACACAAAGCATATAAAAAAAGAATATTTATAGCTCTCCAAGCATCACAGGCTTGACACTATACACCCTCTCCAAGCATCACAGTCTTCTCCATTGTGGAACCAAAAAGAGCCCAACAAACTCCAAAAATAGCAAAGAACATGGTTCAGACATCACGCGCAACAGTGCAATGTAAGAGTATGATTCGAGAATATATATGTGTGTGTGTAGATATATATATATAGCATCTATTAAATTTAAAGTAAATTAAAGCCAAGACCTTAGCTACACAAATATCAAGTCATACAACCCCACCATTAGTAACTCAATAATAAATGCTAAGAGGGAAACTTTTCCAAGTTGGTTGAGGAAGAACTAGTTCTAAGGGTTACTAGATCTTTGCAAGGATAAAGGCTAGTGGTTATGGAGAGAGCTAAGAGAGTTTTAGAGATAGGATCAACTAAAGATCAGTAGCACTTCTATCACTTTGAATCCCACAGTGAGGGAGATGTAAAATTTTATAATTATCCTCATATCAGCAGGGGGTGATCCAAAACCGCAACTTCTTGTCATACAAGATTTTTTTTTTTTTTTTGAATAGTTGATTATTGGAAGACTTGAACTAACCAAAAAATAAAACTATAAATGTAGATGGACATTAAAAGCTTAATATCCTATCAGGTCTTAACTCTAAACTCAATCCTTCTGGTTGTCTTCTATGTTATTCTTTTTTTATTTATTTTTCTCTCTTCTTAAAATTGTATTCCCTTAAAAAATATTTGCATTCCCCTTCATCAATCAAACCCTATTTTTTTCCCTTCACTCATATTTTCTTTTATTTTTTGTTTTATTCTTCTTCTCCATCTTTTTTTTTCCCTTAAAATTTCTTCTTGCAAGTTGTGGCAGTATGTTTTTTCACGTTTTTCACAATACCACATCTGTTTCAGCAAAAGAGCCAAATCTAAAATAAATAAATAATAATTAAATTAAATTTTTAAAAAAAAGTCATTTTCACTTGTTTTTGCTAATATAGTTTAACAACTGTACTGAGAAGCTTTTAAAAACCAATATAATGTAAATACCACTCTTTAAAAAACCATCCAAACATTTTTTTTCAATAAAACATTGCGCAACATATATAGTTACCAACATATTTCTGTTTCGGAATATATTATAGCACAACAAAATAGTATTGCTTCTACTTTATATGAAATTGAAAATGCAAAACAGACAATGGACAATTAATGTCCGTCTTCTATGTTTCAGCATTTTTCTTTACTGCAATTTTTTTCTGAGTAATGACCTAGTAACCTACTATTTGAATCTTGATTACTACACCATCATTGCAATTCTATTTTTCAGCTTGTTTTCATCCTGTTTTCTCATGTTGAGAAAAAAAAAAAAAAAAAGTCTCATGCTCAATATGCCCCCCTGAAATTAATTCCTAGCTCCATCACTAGTTGTCTTAAAAATTCTAGATTAAATTGTAAAAAAACCACTCCACAATTTCTCCCCCCTGAAATAAATGCGTGGATCTAAAATTCTAACACACTCTTTTGTGCTATGACTCCCAATTAAATTATCCCAAGTAGTTAGCAATGAACAAAGGACATTTTAAGTATTCACATCAAGCCAGAGTACTTTTTTTACAAACCTACTGACATTTGAACTTTGAATGCCTATACACATTCAAAAACCCAATATAGCAGTTCACCAGGAGAGAATAGAAACTATATAAGACGATGAATTTGAATGTATTACTTTCAGTTAATGACTTGTGTTGCAAATACATCTGTTCTGTACAATATATACATATGCAATATCACTGTATGCATATTTGTAACTCAATTTCATTTGAAAATACATAAAACCACACGGAATTATACATAGAAGCAAGAACAAAATCAGGCTACCTCATCAAGGTAATCAACATCAAGATCGCCCGCACCATCAACATTCCCAAACATAAATCCCAAAAGACGGTTACCCCCACCAGCCTCTTCATATTCGTCATCATCATCTGCCAAATCAAATACCAAAACAACTTCAACAATAGGATGTCACAGTAACAAAATATATGCAACCAAAAAAAAAAAGAGCTGTACCACTTCCAATTTATCAGCATTATTCATATGGTATGAGCATAAATAAACTTTTTTTTGATGAGTGTATATGTACACGTGTGTACAGGGAATATTAAAAGCACAAACACTCCTGAGGAGTAGTGTTTGTTGACACCTACACTTCTCGGCAGCTGTTGGGCAAGTCATACACATTTCGGGCATGTTCCAATTTGAAAATAAAAATAAATCAAATTTTGGACACCTGGCCTACACTTCCTAGATGTTCCTCAACGCATAATTGACAAACTTGGATGTTGCGAATTGGCAATATAGCTTTCTTTTTCGTCCAAGGGTAAAGGCAAAAACGAATTCATCTAGCCGACATTTATATCAATATCTACAAATTACCTATATTTGTTTATCTGCCCATCAGTATCATGTATATACATATATGCATGTTTGCATATGAGTATAATTATCAAATCAGATCTAAAGTTGCGTCAAAACATAATGTTTCCCATGTATTCATTCTTTGTAATATTGAAGTTTAATAATGTGAAGCCTTCCCTTCCCTCGTTGAATAAAAAATTCAACCATCCCTTCTTATAAACCCACATAACGCAAACACTGCCATACCCAGTTCATATTTTACGAAGCAAGTAAATGAATGCTTCCATCCTCCTCACATAGTTCCATAATATAAACCAAAAATAGAGTGGTTTATGCCTTCAACTGTTGGCAACAGAAACCCACATGTCCATCCCATCCAATCCACATATGTATTATTATTACAAAAATAATTAATTCCGTTGAACACTCTCTCTACAGTTCAGTAAACAAGCAGGAAAATAAAAATGTGTTTATTTGTAGATGCAGACTAAAAATTTAAATTACCTTCATCCCGGCCATCCTGGGAGGTGCTACCAGACTCGTACCCCATGTTGTATCAACAGCTCTGCATACACTGAAAATAAATATATATTTTTTTAACAATCAAATTATCAAAATAACATGAACCTGTACTTAGTGTTCAAAAATATAGATCAAAAGTGCAGAGGAAAAAAAAAAGTTACAAATTTGCAACTGTTTTGTTTCGAAAAAAAATTTAATGAACTCAGTTCACAAGTAATTCGGAAAAACAGTTTACACTTATACCTTGAAACTCGCGTTTTCACGGTGAAGAATTCGATATTTCTAGGGTTTCAGTACATAAAATATATATATATATACTAGGGTTTGAATACAGTACCTTTTGTGGATTTGAGGACGCAGATATCGATTGGCGGTGAGAGATATTTCGCCGTTGGTGACCTCTAGGCGGGAACTATCTTCGGCTTCAGAAAGTTGGGAGGGGAGAAACAAGTGAAAGGAGAGAGATATAAATAGACGATTTTGATTAGAAAAACAAAACAAAGGTAATTTACACTCACACCCTCTAATGTTTGCCATATTAATAGACTTATGCAAATTGACTCAATTGTTTAACAATGACACCCCTTATGTGCAGGAGGGAATGGCATACAAGTGGGAATGGAATGATAATAGAATGGTTATTCTCATTCTATTGTTTGGTTATAAATATGAAATGTGTATGAATGGAATGATAATAACCATTTTAGTATTTGGTTGAATCAATTTAAAATTTAGAATGGAATAAATTTCAATTTGAGTTCTCCGAAATACCCCTCTTAGTAACAAATAAATTAAATTAACAAAACGATATTCTTCTATAATTTTTTTAAAAATAAATGGTGGCAGTGGTGGTGGTGACGATGGTGGTGGAAGTGAAAAGTGGTAGTGGTGTTAGAAGGCTGTGGTGGTGGCAATGGTGGAAAACGGTGGTGGCGGAAGGTAACAGTGGTGTTGGTTAAAGACGATGGTAGTAGTAAGGTGGTGGAAGGAGATAGTGGTGTAGGTGATGGTGGTGGAAGCCAATGGAGGTGGTGGAAGCCAGTGGTGGTGGTGGAAGGTGGTAACGGTGGTAGTGGAAGGTGGTAACGGTGGTGGTGGAAGGCAGTGGAGGTGGCAGTGGTGGAAGGCAATGGTGGTGGTTGTGGTGGTGGTGGAAAACGGTGGCGGTGGTGGTGGTAGTGGTGGAAGGTGGTGACGGTGGAAGGCAATGGCAGTGGCAAAAGGCGGCGGCGGCGGTAGTGGTGAACAAGGGCGGAGCCAGGATTAAAAAGCGGAGAGTGCTAAAGAAAAAATTCAAGTGAAAAATAAAAAATTTCAAACAGAGAAGATGATTTATTGGGGAAAAAATTTATTTGTTTTTTCTGAGAAATCCAAATATAAAGAAACCCAGATCTAACAACATGATTCAACACAAAACAATCAAAATTTAACCTACAGTAAAGAAACCGATATCCAAAGTTTTTAGACAATAATAAATAAATAAAACCCAATTACCAAATATCATTATAAACATAATGTTGAAGTTATTTTTAATTTTAATTTTTTTTTTAAAATCTCCACTAAGATAAAAAAAAGTGAAAAAAAACATTGTTGAAGAAAAAAGAAAAGGATTAAAACTGAAAAGGGATTTTTTTTTTGCTTAAAAGTAAGATGAATAGTTTGGACTCCTTCATGGATTAGCTTTGGTTTGCTGGGCTAGTGGGCTGGGCCATTTATTATGGATTGGAAATTTGGGCTGGACTATAGCTGATAGGACATAGTAGTAGTAAATTTTTTTTTTTTTTAGGGACCTGGGCTGCAGCCCATGAAAGGCTCCGCCCCCTGTGGCGAAGGAAAGTGGTAGCGGTGGTGAAAGGCAGTGACAGTGGCAATAGTGGTGGTGGAAGGTAATGGCGGTGGTGGTGCAAGATGGTGATTGTGGTGAAAGGTAATGGCAATGGTGGTGGAAAGCAGTGAGCGGCGGTGAAAGCCGATGGCAGTGGTGAAAGGCGATGGCGATGACGGTTGTGCTACCCCCGAATTTTCAAGTGTGGGTTGGCCAGGCCCACGCCTGAAGACCTAGAGATATCAAAATAATCAGGTAATAAACGAACACATAATACAAGAGAAATATAATAAAACAAATAATAATGCTGAAAGGAAAAACTAATTAATAAATCCTCTGATACCAATACTCCAAATAAATCCAATAATCCATAAACCTCCAAAATATAATTCGGGAATCCATATATCAAGGACCCTAATAAAATCTCACAACTAAAATAAATAAATAACTACTAAGTTTTAGAAATAAAAGAACATTTGAAAAAATATCCTACATCAATGATACAGGAGAGTGAAGATGAATGATCTCTAATCTGCACAAACAATTCTAAGACTGGTACTGTCGAGGACCTGAAAAATAAATGGTGGGTCAGACCCACAAACAAGTTCCCTCTACTATGACCCGATCAGAGAACCGACAATCAATACATTCCTTGCCAAACTTATGATATAGCTACATAGTCGATACATATGTATATACACGCTGAGACTCTTACTAGATAATAGGGCAGTATCAACCGTGTAGTGGGTATCTCTTGGAAAAATCGCACACAAGGTGGTCCAGAGTCCCCATCTATAAGGTTACACACATCTCCTATTCCAGCTACCCATCTAATCCGATAATACACGCCTCAGTCTTAACAATTGATCCCAAGACCTCAAGGTTATATCATGGCTCACACACACACACACACGCACACATATACATTTCTTTTTTCTTAGTTAGTACTCACACACCCATGTCGTCATTGAAGCTTAAACCCTTTACCTCCCTGGTCAAACTGTCACACCCCAAAATTTTAAATACAAGAACCCTTGTCTCGTATTAAAATTTGGCATGCCTTTTTTATATAACCACAACTTTGCAAAATAAATAAATAGATGTGAATCTCCCTCTAATTTATTAAATTGGTACAACCATAATAATATTCAACATCGTCAAAATTAATCCATGATAACTGGAAAACTGAATTAAATCTCAAAAATATAACATCATTCTTATTACAATGATCCTAACAAGGAAAAATTGAACTAAACAAAAGAATATGAAAAGTTAGCTAAAATCCATGGCTGTCATGTAACCCCATCACGTTCCTACTCAACGTGTACCTGAAACACGATGACGGGGTGAGCTCACAAGTTCAACAACAAATGCTAAACACAATCATCGTTTAGCAAGCTAACATTACTTTGTATTCCCATATAGATAAGCAATTCCAATAAGTGCAATAATTAAATACGCATGACACCAGTTAATTATAAACTCAATAACCATTATTTAATTTTTATTAAGTCTACATGTCTCACGCCCTGGGCTCCCCTTCAATAAAGTGGTGTGAATCGTATAGTCCCGAACTATCAAAAACACACGTGTGGCTGAATTGTATGTCTACTCCCTAGTTGATCCCGGATCATGTCCACATAGTTGAATGCCTAGATTAGAGAACTTTTACGTGTAATATATATATATATATATATATATATAAGCTTTAGATTTGTATATTTAGTTGCATATGTAAAATCCTTGTAGGTTATGAGGACGTTGGGCCCCAAAAGGGAGTGATTGTGGTGACCCTGTGGGTGGGTGTGTTGTGGGCGGGTGCAAGGCACTGATAGGTTACCACACTGGACGAGCTACAAGTGCACAATCTCACATCGCCTGGGTAAGGGAAAAGTGATGTGCTTAAATGCGATGGTGTTATCTACAATTGGTATAAGGCATTTTGGGGTAAAACCCAAAAGTAAAATTATGCGGGTTCAGGCCCAAAGCAGACAATATCATACCATGTGGTGGAGTGGGTCGTTATACTTTACCTCCTTTTGAGAAGTAAGGGCTTGATACCGTTGAGCTACTGGCCCGTTGGTACATATATATATATATATATATAGATCATCAATAAATAAAACCATATCTAACAATGACACAAGTAGAGTGTCGTGACTTATTAGCCAGCCCACTTACACATTAATCCAACAATATCATATCTAACAATGGTGGAAAATATTAAGGAGCCTAACTTATTAACTATCTCAATCATCACATCACATACTGGAATAAATCTCATCATATCCATATATATCAATAGCGCAACAATTATAAATTATAATAATTCCAATCTAGAACAATAAAGATGATTGAAGCATGATTAAAATCATAATATTAATTACATATAACTAATCAAGTTAACACAAATAATTACAACCATGTATCATGCTAGTAATTCATAAGTATATCGACAACGATAATTATAATAACGAATCTAATAATTACATTTACTTACACAAATTAAATATCACAAAAGATTAAATTAAATTATTAATTAATTTAAACATTCCCATCCAACATAAAAAAAGGAAGGCCTAATACCAATTCATATATTTTAGACCTATATCACAGTTCCCAATACTTATGAACTTGTTCGGCATTAATTACACTTAAAATGGAGTCATTCAGAACACTTTTGGAGAAAACAATTTACAGAGCTCGAGCACAATCCCCCTTTGCTCGAGCATTGCGCGTCGAAATAGCATTATGCTTAAGCACAAAGTCACTAAACAGAATCTGCAGGTCCATTTTTGGCTTGTAAATTCACGATTTGGGTCCTAAAACATGGTTTCTAAGTCCCATGTAATCACCAATGATTTATACAATGAATATACACCAAATCCAACAATTTAAAACAAGTTTTATATATCAAATCGAAGAATTCATCAAGTTGAAGAATAAATACATATAAACACAAAATCATTCAATTCAATTCATGCATAGCAATTAATTGATCCATTTAATTATTTGATTTAATCCATAAAGTCTAGCATATGATGGAGAGATCATAAATTTAAAGGGGAAGAGATTGATAAAGAACTTGTCTTATGATTTTCGGATTGAAAATCAACTATATAAACTCTCCGGTTTTCTTCTCTAATTCTGGCAACCTCCAAGCTATCCCCAGTCACCTTCTTCTTCCTCTTCTCTCTCTCTTTTTCTATCTAAATATGCCTCTTTTGTAACTCACGTATATGCACAACTCTGTTCTTCTGACTACTACATCTATATATATCCTAACCCACAAATCCTAACCTAAGACTAACTAAAATAGAAATATATATAATAATAATGATATTACTACTATTATTATTATTGTCCAAAACTTATTAATTTACCAAATCAAAATCCACCCAATATATATATATATACACCTTCCCATTGGCCATAATTCTATATAACCATCTAGGCTTTTTCTAATTAGCCCAAACCCATTATTTTGGGTCAAGCAACTCCAAGCCTAAACCACCATTAATTAAAATAAACTAAACCAATTAATTAACACAAGCAAATTGCACATAAATAAATAATGACAAATAAAACATATCAAATAATCAAAATAATCT